ATATCAAGTGACACATCTCCTCTAATAAAGTTTTTCATTTAATCTTAGCAATAATCTGAAATTTGGTAGTGCTCTGTAATAAAACATAATCTCCTTGACTTTTAATATCCTGAATTAATTCCCAACTCTAAATATACTATTTTTAATATCCTCGAGTAATTCTCAAGTCTAAACAGATAGTATTTCTAAAACATTTTAATTATGATCTACTTATCCAATTGTGTCAAATTAGTCATAATTTCTAGCTTCTAGGATTTAATTATTGAGAGGTGACTGCATGTATACCATGATACATCCTTCTATCTTAATTTGAGCATCTTTATTTCATCTGGTTCCACTCATTCTTTGCTCATATTTATCCTCTCTTTTTTGCATATAAGTTCTTGCTATCAGAACACGCTGGGAAGTGCTGAAATGAGCAATTGGAAGAAAAACTAGGTATGAATCCGTTTACCAACTAGATAATCTACTTCCCTGGGTAAACTGATTATGCTAAATACATATATGGGATAGATTTCATAGTTTCTTTTCTGATTCTTCTGAGAAAAAAGAAAAAAATAGTAATATATTTAAGGTGTTAATAATTTAAGGACATTAACAGTTGATGAAAATTAGTATAAAATGCAAAGAAAAAGCTGAAATTTTTTGGATTCCATTGAAAGTACTTTGATAAAAATTGAGAATTTAACAACACTGCCTCCCCCACATCCTTGTCCACATAAACACAAATATTACATAGACTTTAAATTCCAACAAAACCAGTACAAAAGAAAAAAATTAAGTCAGCAAATGTATAAACATATGGCATTTTTAAACATCAGGTAGTTTACTAAGTGACTGACACGAAGCAACACTACCATCACCTAAAGAGATGTTTTACTAAATCTAATGATACGCTTACAGGCAACAGAAAACAAAAAGACAAAAGTGCTATAATATTCACCATTAAAAGACTGGTGCATGTGTCTCTAAAAAGAACAGCTTGTTGTTATCACAGCAGCTATGGTAACCCACATTCATTAGAAACTCACCTCCAAAAAAAAAAAAAAAAATAGCATTTCCCAATACATAAAACAAGTACACTGCCCCAAATTAAAGATATTATGCATATGTCTTCTGGGAAAAATGTTCAAAATGCAACCAGTTACAAACTACAACAAAAAAAAATTAATACAGATACAAGAACTTTAGAGAAAAATGTATATGTTAATATTACAGATAATAAACTAAAGTTTATCAGTCTGACACAAATGAATTTTAAAAATGTGAAAACTACTCAGATATATTAATATGTGCACATCTAATTCACATCAAAACTGAGACATAATACCCTTTTTTTCTCTTCAGTCCTTTTGCCAAAACTTCATTGATGACATTGCATGATTCACAGGTTAATGTGGATGGCCTACATACTTATCTTTTATTTGTTCCCATACTATATATTGCTGTATCACAAATTTTTCCCTGTATTCTCCATTCTTCATTTTTCAACATCCCCTTTAATGTTTTATCTTCTCAATATGAACATCTTAGCCTCTATATCCATCCAAATATTTCTCTCACACTACTTTTTAATACAAGTGCTCTACTTGGGTTAGTTAGCTCTATTTGCGTCAGTCTCCTCAGCCTCTCATTCAACAAATTACCATGAACCTAGTATTTGCCAGGCCTTGTGCTAAGTATTAAATACTAAGAATGCAAGGATAAATTTTACATAGTCCCTGTCCTCACAGTATAAACGCCTAAAGTGGGGTGACAGAATCTATGAAATATATATCATCCAATGAAGCATAGAAATATTACCACTTATCTAAAAACATTTAATAAAAATAAATGTTTTCTAGTATTTAATACATGGATTGGCCCTGGTAGGTCCAATTGTCCAGATATCAGATGTTTACCTACCACACAGGGCACCCATGGTATCATATGGGGAGAGTGGAGTGGCATAGTTCCAAAATCAAGTAGATAGTTAGATTTTTACTTGGTTGTTCCTTCTCAGTATAATCAACATCTTGTGACATACTATGATTTATGAGAGCTCAGGTGAATGTTAACATCTAGATTTAACTAACAGTCAAAAATATAAAGGAGAAATTGCATGACTGCCCCAAGTAATAGGTGAAGACCTGACACATGGACCCAGTGGAGGTGTCAGTGCTAATCCATATGTCATATGCTCATAAGCATTTATTCACAGTAAATATCATTCCTACAATGAACTGGCAGAATGAACATAACATCAGTGTGGACACAAATAACAACAAAAAACTGGCAATGTGAATATCTTACTCCTAACACACAAAACTTAACAGTTAGTTACAATATGAAGTAAAATGATGGCAATCTAATGAGATATGACAAGTCAACCAAAAAAATTCATATACATCAGGAGATCAGCTAAAATATAGGTTTACATTTACTTACTAACAATAAACCTCATGATAAACCTATACTGCGCTGAAATACGAACTAATGTGAAGGTGAAGTTATTGTGACTAGGAAGACGTTGCAAAACCAAATATCTTAAACGTGAAGACAAGCTGTAAAAATGGTAGCTGGGCTGAAAAATCTTAAGGGCCCAAACGATACTTCTTCCATTTGCATCTACCTGTTTTTGAGAGATGGCGTTTTACTTACCATATCTAAACTGAACATGGAATGTTCAACATAAACTGTCAACATAACTGAACATGGAATGA